GTACGTATGGTTGGGGGGCGGGGCGCGGGGGGAGGGGGTCCAACACCAGCCACCCACCGCTAACAAGTCTGTGCCTTCAGAAGCCTGTTGCAGAGGAAATGAGACGTGGCCACATAAAAAATTGCTTCTTTGTGACAATGTGTGACCCCCCTCAAGGAAGTGGTTGGACGCCCACTCCCGCGGGCCAGCTTTAAGAGGTGCTGGCAGGAACTTGACAAAGCTGCACAGAGCTGCTTCCAAGCTCTCTTCCTCCATCCCACCCAGGGGGTGTGGGAGTTTGTGCCTGCAGTAGAAGCAGACCTGGTTGTCTTCTCTGTGGCTTTACAACTATCTGCTATATAGGAAAGGACCTACTTCTGTCCTGGGGCAGTGATGGCAATACTTGCCCCGTTGAAGACTAAAATGCTGCTTTTTTCCCTTTCCCCAAAAGTTGGCAATAAGGGTTATGGCTCTCCAAGGATTGAAATTGTAGAAGCAAGTGTTGAAGTCTGGTGGCAAAAAGGAACCTGCTACTTACCTGTATTTGGGAGTGGAGGAGAAAAAAAATTAATCAGTAATCATCTTTAAAGAGAGGGGCCTAAGAGATCCTAAATATGATTGCTATCACACACACACACACACACACACACACACACACACACACACACACAGAGAAAACCTGTTTCCACGTCAATTCCGACTCATGGCAACCCATAGGTTCCAGAGTAGAACTGCTTCAGAGGATTTTCTTGACTACAATCTTTATGGAAGCAGATCAACAGGCCCTTTTTCCCTGTTGCCACTAGGTGGTTTTGAACCACCAACCTTTAGGTTCATAGTCAAGTACAAAATATTTGTGCTGTCCACAGACCTGGGTGACTTCTGTTGCACTATGTTCATTTAGCTTAAAGAATCAGCAGACATCACTGTTAACTTTGGAGGGGAACGAGGTAAATTTAGCTTTAACATTTGTTGACTAAGCACCTCCATCTGGGAGTGTGGGAGACAAGGATGAGAGCATTTCCCACAGAGATCTGGAATGATCTCTGAGGCTCCTGGCTCTTCCCACCTGGTGTGTCTTGTTGATAGTTTAGAGAGCATCAACCTCAAGCAATTTCTCACGGAGGGAAATGGAGAGCACACCCTAAGGCAAAACCCACCTTGCTTAATGAGAATCAGTTCTTAGATTCTGGGAAGATTTTTCTCACAACACTCTCCTTCTGGGAAGGAAAGACGAGCCAGGAGCAGCCCTCAGATAAAAAGGCAAGTTATTCTGTATGATGAACGGCATCATGAGGGGCTGCTAGCAAAATTGGCTTGTCTTCCCAGACACAGAAAAGTCTTTGTATCTCTGTTGTTGGGTGCTGTCAAGAGGATTCCATGTGATGGGGCGGAAGGGCCCTAGGAAACTTGCTCATGACAGAAACAGATGGCCAGGAGCTGCTGAGTGGGTTCAGCCCTCCGGCCTCGGGGTGAACAGCTCAGCCTTGAACCACCGTGTCCACAGGTTCCTTCTCTCTACCAAGAGCACCAAACCAAGCAGCAACAACAGCAAAAACCAACCAAACCCACCCATGGGTTTTAACGAACACCTGTATCACTGTATCATTGTCTGCACCTGTAAAATGGGGATAACAGTTTTCTCCTAATTATTCAGGTTAATTGGATAATGCCCTCCTCACTGGTAATGTTATAAGGTACAGTGCAAATCACACTCGGCTGGCTTTAACAAACGACTGTATTTGCTCACAATTTAGGCTATACATCTCATTGGGCTGCGCTGCTCAAGGTCCGTGGTTTGAAACCGCCAGGCGCTTTGAGGGAGAAAGATGAGGCTTTGTGCTCCCGTAGAGAGCTGCAGTTTCAGAAACCCACAGGGGCAGTTCTACCCTGTCTGGTCAGGTGGCTATGGGCCAGCGCATTGAGTGTGACATCTGAACCCTGAGAGCTGGAGCTCGGATTCTAGGGAGATGCTCACTCTCCCCGTCAGCTCTGGGGGAAGGGTCTCCTTTCTCCAGCTTCTGCTTCCTGGTTCCTTTCAGATCTCCAGCGGTCTTGACATTGCTTTTACCCCATCTTTTCTTGGCCTGATGTGCTCATTTTGTCTTTTGTAAGAGAGTGGCTCAAGACACACCCTACACTAATTGATTCTATCTCATTCCCATTAACAGAGAGTTCATTTCTAAGTGGGATTATAACCCCAGGCAGAAAACTGAAATTACAAACCTGTGGCTATCCAGGGGATTCCAACTCATGGTGACCCTACAGGACAGACTAGAATTTCCTTACATGGTTTCCAAGGCAGTTCTGGTTTTGTTTAGGTTTTGTAATCGAAGCAGCGTGCTACATCTTTGTCCTGTGGAGAGGCTTAGAGGTTAGGATTTATAGAAATTTTTTTTAAGCCAATCCATCCCATTCCACCATTTGTCCCTCTCTCTGCCCCATCACCCACTTACGTACTTGCCACACGCCAAACCCATTCACCCCTGCACGTCACCTCAGTGGTCTTCAAGCCCCAGATTCCATCATCTGAGCCATCAAATCAAATGTGGGTGAGACTAGAGGAATATCCATCCTGGGGCAGAACTCCTTCTTATCTGTGAACCTATGACATGGAGACTACAAGGTATCTACTTCCAAAGTCCACTGGTGGAACCGGTGCCTGCCGGGGAAACCATTCCCATTACAAAGGGAAGCAAGGAGAGGAGAAGAAGGAATAGCAGGGGCCGCACGAATCAAACCCAACCCACTGCCATTGAGTCACTCAGACTCGTAAAGCCCGTGTAGGACAGAGGAGAACTGCCCCGTGGAGTTTTCAAGAACGGCAGCAGAGGTGCAAGCCCCAAACCCAGCAGTACACATTACTGTTGCGCTCAAGGCTTGAGAATAAGCCCGTGTTCTCTCCCACTGGTGTCCCACCAGATTGAAGTTTCCAGGCCAGTAGCCACTCCTCAGGGGGAAGATGAGGCTGTTGGCTCCTGGAAAGATGAACAATCTCAGTACCCTTCCAGAGGGACTAGAATGCAAAGCTGAAACCTGGGGCTAAGGGACCTCCACCTGGAGTCCAGAAACCCACTGTCCTGAGTTGATTCTGACTCACATAAAGGGTTTCTGAGATTATAAATCGTTATGGGAGCAGACGGCCTCTTTTTTCTCTTGGGGAGCAGCTGGTGGGTTTGGACCACTGACGTGTCGTTTATCAGCCCAAAGCCTAGCCCGCAGCACTATCATAGGGGTCCTTGCTTTTGCCATTCACTGGAGAGCTCACCATCAGTGAGTCATTGCCACCTCACAGGGGCCCTGTAGGACAGGAGAGGACGGCCCTGTGAGTTTCTGAGCCTGTAACTTCACTGGGGTAGCAATCCCTATCGTTCTCCTGTGGTTTCAAACTGCTGATCTTGCGAATCATAGCCCAACTCCTGACCACTATGCCAAGTCCTTCCAGCTTCTACCCGTGTCCCAGTTCTGAACAGGTGCTCACATTTTAGCTGTCTGTTGGCATACTGATTTCTCGTGGAGCTGCTAACCTGTAGTCATTCGAAACCACCAGCTGCTCCTCGGGAGGAAGAGGAGCCTTTCTATTCCCACAGGGGCCGTTCTACCCTGTCCTGCAGGGTCGCTGGGACTAGGCCGTTCTACCCTGTCCTGCAGGGTCGCTGGGACTCAGTCGTTATTGACTAGGTGCCAGCAATAGTGAGAGCCGCGCCCCACTCTTCTGGGGCCAAGTGCAGTCTTAGCTAACTAGTGATGCTGTAACGAAAATGTTAAAAATGGGTAGCTTTAACCAACAAGTGTATTTTCTGCCTCTCTAGAGGGCTCCCAGTCTGAATTCAGAGCACCTGTGTGTTGGCTCTGAAGTAAGGTTCTGGTCTCTTCCAGCTTTATTTCCTGCTTCCTTGGCGAATCCCATGTATTTTTGGCATCAAACGATCTTACCCCATCTCTCCTTGCCGACTCGGCTTGTTTGTGTAATCGCTATGAGCTGGAAGCCACTCCGGGGCAACAGGTTGGGTTGTGGTTTGGGTGGTGTAGATGATCTATTTCCCTTTTCTTCACTCAGTCTCCCAGAGGCAGTGAACTCAGTCTGGGAGCCCCATCCCCAGTGTAATCAGTGGGAGAAGAGCTGTGTGACACTGACTTCTCTCTCTTGGGTTAGGTTAGTGATGAGCAGCTAAGGGAACCATTGGAGGTTCGAGTTCACCATAGCCACTTCGCAAGCAAGGTCCGGCAATCTACTGAGAATCCAGCCTCTGAAATCTCCCCAGAGTGCAGTTCCACGGAGGTGCCACGGGGTCACCAGGAGTCGAACTCGGCTGTTTGTTTCTGTTCTGTCTCCCCTCTTGGACCACAAAGGTGTGGGAGCATGCCTTTCCTTTCATTCTCATCTGCTCCGCCCCTGGGCCTGCTGCATGAACATTTTGACCTTGCGAAGCACAGGGTTAAATAACTTATATTCAACAAGGGGGTGAATTCCCAAGATGCCAGACCTCCAGAACAGATTCCTCTGTGGGGAGCAGGCCCCCACCACACTCTCCCCTTGCTCTACGCATTCCGGCCTCCTCCTGGTCAGAAGGAGGCATTACAGTGCTGATGCCTGGCTCTCCTCTGCAGAGCTTGCCCTCAGACAAACTAGATTTTCCCTGGGTAGGCACCATTCTTACTTGATTTCCTACTTTGCAGCTCTCATTTCGGGGGGTGGGGGGAACAGGCAAAGAGTATGAGCCCAAGGTGTGGGCTTGTCTTTTCCCTGTGCCCTGGATTTTAGGGCGCGGAATGTTTCATGTGCTCTGTCTGTGCTCAGGGACTGGGACTGTGCTTGGTATTTACAGCCTCTGATAAGACCACACAACTGGTCAGTGACTAAGGGTGGAGGCACCAGAAGCTATGGAATAACGAATGAATGATATTTGCCACTCCCAGATCATACGGCCCCCTCTCCTTGGTGGCGAGTACCCATCCTCTGACTGTGGAGCTCGCTAATCAGACAAGCTCTCTGCTTTTTCCAGGAAGCTCCACTGTGACCGCCCTCTGCCAAGCTCACAGCAGAGAGCCTGGCGCAAGATGAACCCCGTTGTCCACGCAAGATTCACGAGACCGTCCCACTGAACCCCGAGAGCCTGAAAATGTCTGCCTGCAGTGACTTTGTGGAGCACATCTGGAAGCCCGGGTCCTGCAAGAACTGCTTCGGCCTGCGGAGTGACCACCAGCTGGTGGCTGGCCGTCCCCAGCCCAGAGCAGGCAGCCTGCCCGCCCCGCCCCGCCTGCCCCCCAGGCCGGAGAACTGCCGCCTGGAAGATGAGGGTGTGAACGTGAACGGCTTGCCCTACTCCAAACCCACCATCGCTGTGAAGCCCACCATGATGAACTCTGACCCCTCGGACATGTGGGCAGAGGGCGGTGTGAGTGCAGAAGTCTCACAGGTGAGGCTGACTAACCCCTGTGGTATTTTTACAGGGGCTGTTCCTGTTGGACCGCTTGGGCTTGGTGACTGGCTGGCAGCCAGGGGGCTGTTAGAGCAGGAATCCTGCCCAGTGGCTCCCTGTTGGCCCCCCCTGAGGTCCCCTGTTCCTGACTGCTGGGGTTTCGACACCCCTGCCCTCTTTTCTCTCTGTCCCTGTGGGAGAATTAATCCAGTCCATCAATCCAGCCCCACAATGTTTAATCCTGTATAAGGACTGACCAAAATAGAGCTATTAAGAAGAAACAAACAAAAAAAGTGGAGCTTTAAAAAATATATTTTATTATAAAAATGTGCATGTGTGTGTTGAATGGATGAGAAGGCTTCGAAACATTTATGAAAGAATGGGATTAATAAATGACATTTCCCTATGAAATTTTAAAGCCCCGCTATATCATTTTCCAATTCGACACATTTTACATTTCAGTGGTCCTTGATTATACTCATCTTGTGCGACGATCCCCACTGGTAGCTTCCAAATGATTATCCCATCACTAGCAAACTCTGGGCCCTCCGCAAAGGCTTCCTCCGCTCCTGAAAATTGCTTCGGTCTTCATCCATGTGCTTCTGTCACATAAGTGGGATCACACAGCATTTATTCGTTCATGACTGACTGCTCATCCTGTCTTCATGCTCCTCCATACTGTGTGATGTGTGCCTATATCTATGTAGATATATAATATTCTATTGCATGAATTGACCATATTGTGCTTATCCGTCACCTACTGACAGACATGTAGATGTTTCTACTTTTTGGCTATTTTGAACAGTGCTGCAGTGGGCGTCAGTGTGTTTTTTGAAACCTTTTAACTTCACATTTTATGTACAGATATAAGAAGTATTAATTACACAACGAACCCTATGCTTGCATCAATATTTTACCACCGCACGAACAATCCTGTTTCCTCACAACCACCCTCCACTCTCCCTCTGCAAAGATTTTAAAGCAAATCCCTGGCATTGAATCATTTAACATGATCTTTTATCAGACTATGAAACATAGAATAACCACAATACCATTATCACGCTTAAAAATGTTAACAGTCATTCCTTGGTCATGTTGGGTGCCCAGCCAGGGTTCATATTTCCAATTTTGAAGCTTAAATTTTACCAGCTTTGATCCAGACCTGTTACATCTCCAGCAGACACACAGAGCAGGGTTGCTGAAGGCATGTCTAGGACATGTCCTGAGAACGCTTGCTACCCGTTTAACCTCCTCAGCCATTGTGATGAGTGAACCAGGAAGGGTGTGTGTGTGTGTGTGTGTGTGTGTGTGTGTACACAAAGGTCAGTTTCAAGTCAGTGGAGTATTCATTGAGAGACAGTCACTGTGGCTGAGATGTCTCCGGGAGGGCTGAGGCGAGTGAGAGCTGCACTTCCCTAAGCTGGTTCATGCCCATCCACCAGGCCATTCTGGCTACCCTCAGCCTTCAAAGACCTAAGCCAGGGCCACTTCAGTCCAGACTTGGAAAAGAGCCAGAATTGGGTCCTATTTGGAGGCCACTTCTCAAAGTCAGGAAGGTGAAGAGGCCACTTGAGAAGAAAGGGGGAAGGGGCAGTGATAACAAGCAGTACCCCTCTCAGTGCTCAGCTCACCCGGCCACTTACGCCGGCCAGTCACCACCTGTCACTGGGCGCGAGAGCAGCCCTTGGCATGGCTTGAAGCAATGCCCAGAAGGAAGCAGGGATGCCGTGACCCTGCTTAGAAGCCTACCCTCACCCTCCTGCCCCTGGCCCTCCACCGGCCCTAATGGCTTTTTAAAAGCGCTTATACCTCTGGTCCTCTTCAGGATTACACAACAGGCTGGCTGCCTGGTCACTGGCTAGTGAAGGAGCTTGTAAGCAAAAAGCAGAATTAAACCCCCAAACCCTATTTTCAGCACCTGTAGGAGGACAGAATCTCACATGGCAGTTGGGAGGCAGACTGCAAAAATTCTCCTTTAGAGTTTAAAATTTTTTTTTTCTCGCCCTACCTCAGAGACCCCAGCCAAAAGAATGGCAGGTCACCGGTGGGAAGTGCAGCTCAGTGTCTGGGCAGAGGAGCCGGCTCACTGGGTGGGCTCAGTGATGATAAGGCTTGTGGGGAGATCAGAGGGTGGGCGTGCTGGAGAGCCGGACTGATGAGGACTGATGAGCTGCCGCCCTGCCTTCCTTCAATGCACGTCCGGAGGCAGAGTGCAGAGTGCAGTGCCCGGCACCCTGCTTTCCCTGGTCCTCGATAGCCAAGTCTCCTGAATGTCTTTTCACCTTGGGCCTCTAGGTCATCTGGAGACGAATGCCCAGCAAGCTCCCCCTCCCAAAGCAGGAAGATGCATCCAGAGCGTATCTGAGCAGCTTCCGCGGTGCCCCGAAGCCCGGGGGACCCTCGTCCCCCACCGATGGCAGCTCCCGATGCCCTCCTGCATACGCCATGGCTGGCCAGTCCTGGGTGGAGAGGAACCTGGCCTTCCACCCGGCGAGTTTTGCCGGCGACAAGGGTAGGCGAGAGGCCCAACCCACCTTTCCTGTCCAAGAGCTGACCTCTACTCAGGAGAGCTTCCGCCAGAAACTGGCCACCTTTGCAGAAATGGCATCTGGCTGTGCCAAGGGCCCTGGGTCCTTCTCCTCTTCACAGCCCCTGAGGGGGTCGCTGCCCTCAGAGGACGACAGTGATCACGGGTGCTCACCCTCCGGGGACAGTGAAGGGGGAGAGTACTGCTCCATCCTGGACTGCTGCCCTGTGGCCAAGGACACCTCACCAGCTGAGGGGTCCAGACACAGACACGCTGGAGGGGACAGCTCGCTGGCATCCTGGGACCCAACAGTGTGTGCTGGGCCCTCTGACGATGACAAGCGGGTGTTGGGCTTCCCCAGGGCGTGCTGTGCCCAGGACCCAGCAGGGCATCCATCTCGCCCGGGGCCCAAGAAGCCCTCCCTGACCTCAGAAGCCGCCAGCTCTTCGGATGGCATTTCCTGTGGGAGCAGCAGCAGTGGAGCGAGCAGCCCCTTTGCCCCCCATTTGGAGAGCGATTACTGCTCCCTTATAAAGGAGCCTGTGTCCAAGAAGCCACCGGACGCAGGCTGCCACGGGCTGAACTCTAGCAGATGCCTGGGGCTGACGGAGGCCCAGCCCCCAGACCCGGCTAGGGAGGCTGCGCAGCCGGAACCCATCTATGCGGAGAGCGCCAAGAGGAAGAAGCCCGGCCCTGTGCCCTCCAGACCCCAGGCCAAGGCAGAGCAGACAGCACCTGGCCAGGGTCAGGGCCAGGGCCGGACAGGTAGCGCTTGGGCCACAAAAGCATGTGTCTGGGACCAGGACAGGGAAAGCCCAAATGTGGCCACCCAGGTGGCGGCCACCATCACCGTTATGGCAGCCCACCCAGAAGAGGACCACCGAACCATCTGCCTCAGCAGCCCCGACTCGGCGGTGGGGGTGCAGTGGCCCCGCGGTCCTGGAAGCCAGGACTCGGAGGCAGCGGAAGAGGAGCCTGGACCAAGCTCCCGGGGAAGCCATCCTCAAGACGGAGCTGAGCACACGCCCAAGGGGAGGCCCGCCATCCCCCCGAAGCTGTCCAAGAGTAGCCCCGGAGGGTCCCCTGTGTCTCCATCTGCCTCCCCGCTGGCCGACCTCAGCGAGGGCAGCGCGGGCAGCGGCAGCGGCGTGGGGGCCCAGCCTTCCCCCAGAGCCCCCACTGAGCCCGCTTCTTCCTGCCTTGCAAATGGTGGCACCGCCAACGACCCTGTCCGGTGTCTGCCCGCCACCTGCACCACCGCCACCACCTCTGCCACCGCCGCCCTGGACCAGAGGCGACCCAGGTACCCGACGGGAGCCTGGAGTCGCCAGTGCCGCATCGAAGAAGAGGAGGAGGTGGAGGCGGAATTGAGTCAAGGCTGGAATGGAGACCTGGAGAACGGCGCCATTGCCGCAGGGGACTTGGCCCACTCCTCCACCTGGCACCGGCTCTACCCCGCCGACGGCGCCTCCAGGCAGGGTGGCATGAGCAAATCGGCCTCTTTCGCCTTCGAGTTCCCCAAGGACAGAAGCGGAATGGAGACGTTTTCACCTCCGCCCCCGCCTCCGAAGTCCCGGTGAGTACTCTTGTCGATGTCAGAATTGGGGGTTCTGAAGGAAAAATCGGTGACCTGCGGGACCAAGCGCTTCCGGAGACCTGCGAGGTCTTCAGGTGTGCCACAGTAGAACCACGTGTGTCAGAGTAAAAACCCTGTTGGATTTTGAAGGGCTCTTTTTTGCCCCCCCCCCCCCAAGTTATGTTGCCAACGCTTTCTTCTGAGGAGCCCTGGGGAGATGCAATCCGTTAGCCTTTCAATTAGCGGCTATCAGTGGTTACCTGCACCCCAAGCACCCGCCTCGGGCCAAGGGCCCTGGTGCCTGTCCTTCAATTTCGGGGAAGGGAGTCAAGTGCCGCCCACAGGGAGCATGCCCAGGTGTTCCTACCTTCAGCGCCTCTTTTGGGACTGACTGCTAAGTAGCCAGCCCTTCCAAGGAGCATTGCCAAGCTCTGGTGGGCTGGTTGTTTTGTTTTGTTTTTAGCGCTCATATTTGTAAAATCTGGTACTGTTTCCTCTATTGCGCCTAAGAGTCTTAAGCAAGCTATCGCAAATAAACCCTGAAAATGTCCATTATGCCGACATGAAATTAGGGCTCACCCAAGTTTTGCAGCAGGGTTGGGGGGGTGGGGGTGGAGGCAGAGAAGCAAACGGGCAATGATCACTGTGTGCTTAGCAAACTCATTTAAAGCAGCCAGGCACCAGGATGCCGTTGAGGCCTTGAGGTCAAGAAGGGTAAGCGTCTGCACATGGTTCGCGGTCCTCAGATGTGGTTCGTTAATATCATTTGCGCGTGCTGAAGGCACCGCTTTCCGGTTCCGGCCTGCTCCTTTAACATACCTTGCAGAGGTGCGGGGTGGCGGTGGTGGCAGGGAATAGAGGCTGCACGTGGAATTTAAATTCTGGGAAGAAAATGTTTCCCTGACTAGAGCAAAACTGATACCTATCAGTGAAAGAAGAAACCTGCTGTTTTTCAAAAAAGAAAGAAAAAATGATAGCCTTTCAGAACAGACTTTCTCTAGTCATGTCCTTTCCAGGGGGTGCTGTTTGAGCTGAGGGGCCTCCGGGTTGCTGTTAGAAGCAAGAGGATTGACCACAAAGGGAAGCATCTGGGGCACTTGACTTTGAACATCAAGGCTGTCACAGGCCGCGGTGGGATGATCTAACAGGACGCCCCCCTCCTCCAGCCTCCCCCCTCTGTTCTAGTGTTACATGGCTGGCTGCTCTGCTCTGTGGGCAATCCACGTTCTCCACATCCTCAGGAGATCGCAGATAGGCTTTGGCCCCAGTGTTGACTCCTAGGATGAATGATGGCTCGCAGCTGTGAAGAGCGCTCCTTTCTAGGGTCCTTACTATGGGCCAGGCAGGATCCAAGAGCATTCGCTCTATTAACACCGTCACCGTCAAAGCAACCCCAGGGGATAGCAATTACTATCACTATTTTAGGGATGCAAAAGCTGAGACAGAAAGCTGAAGTTACCTGCCTGAGACTTCAGCGCCTGTGCCCCCTAAACACACAGCACACACACCACCAGGCCCAGGAAGCAAGCACAGTGCCCGTCTGCCTCAGGCCTAGTAACCTGGGGAACCAGTAAACCACGCCCTGGAGCTGAATCTGACTGTGTGTCAGCCTAGGACTGTGCTCGCCCCATAGAGTGGTTAAAATTGCAGGGTTTTTTTTTCCGGAGGTAGAAGGCTAACCATTTTTCCCAGTGGACTCAAGCTTCCAACCTTTTTGGTTAGCCACTGAGCACATTAACCATTGGCGACAGAAGTGGCAGGCTCAGATCGCAGAAAACGCAGCCCATGTTCCATCTGTCTCACTTAACTTGAGGAAGCCACTTATTGTGACTGAGCTTCCAGGTGACCCTTCTCTAAACCGAGATGCTGGTAGTGATGCGCCCGTACATCCTGTTGCTGAGAGGGAACCTGAGGTGGACAGTGTAGTTATCATGTAAGCAAAACCTACCAGCACCCTTCATGGTGGCAGTGCCACCCTCACCCTACCAATAGGAGCCACCCTGGCCCAATCCCAACTACATCACCTGATTCTAAGATAACTAACTGAAACTTTCTTGTGTAAAAATCATAGGGCTTGTAGAAATCCCAGTAACCATAGCAATATGACTCAGATAGGGTTTTAATTAGCATCTGGATTGAGATCAGAGTTTCTTAAGCCCAGTTTGTTATGATAAAATCATTGGATTACATACAGGTGGAAAGCCCAGAGGTTCTGGCCTGTAAAAAAAAAAATTTCAAGCACCCCCCACCCCTACTATCAGGGGAAAAAAGGATAAAAAGTTCTTATTTCCAAGATGGGAGAAAAAGAAAGAAAAGAAAATGAACTAGCTTAAGAGAACAACGAAAAGAGAAAAGAGCATATAGTGTTATTTATTTAAAATAAACCAAACTAGTATATATTTTCATTACTAGTATATATTTTCATTCTGGGCAGATATTCAAGCAGTGTTGACTATCCCGTGAATCTTCACATCTCCCTGTGAGAGGAGATAAGGCAGACTTGGGACCATGTACTGACTTAATCCTGCAACTGGGTCCATACTCCATTCCTCTGGGGACGATGCCAAAAGCCTCAAAGTCTTCACACCAAGGGCGTTGGCAAATCAGAATGTTAATGAAATGCAGCCCGCAGCTGAAATGGTACCAATGCCGCTCTTACACTGGCAGTCATGGCAGGGCTGGTGCCAGGTAGCCAAGATGGAAAATTGTTGGCCGCTCTTCAAATGATGTGCAAGGATAACTTGATTTCTTTGCATGGGCCTCTCTGTTAAATGGGTCCTGTTTCTATTGGCCAGCCTCCCCATGAGCAAAGGGCATAGCTTTCATCGTGCACTAGATGCACTCCCTGTTTAAGGCAAGACTGTTACTTTCAGGGCTTCCAACAGGGCTATCCCAGTTCTGCCCCTCTGCTCAGAGCTGAGAATTCTCATTTCCACCCCATCTACACCAAATCAGAATCTACCTGGAATCTAACTGAATCACCTAGGGATCTTGGTAAAATGTATATTCTGATCCAATATAGGTGGGGTGGAAAAGGCAAATCCCCCGCAGCAAGTCAAACCAAATGAACTGGTCCATAGCCCTGGTTATTTTCCATTCACACACAGTGGAGAGAGCATTTCGCTGCTTTCTTGGGCCACTAGGGAAGAGCAGAGAACACATCTTTCTAGATGCCTCTCACCGTGTTTTATAAACGTGGCTCAGAGCAAGAGGAACGAAAGAGGTGAAGCGAATGCCTTCACTTTCCTGTGATCCTGTTCAGGATGTTTGGCAGTGGCTTGCTTGCAATACTGTCCTCGGTGATCTCCCATTCACATTCCTGAGGCACCTCTTGCCAGAGTGCTGCGTAGGACAGACTCTCATCTGACATTTTATGCCTGAACACCTCTTCACTGAGTGTCTTGAAGTGCATG